TTTTATATGATAAATGAAATATTTAATTATTTGCTATAACATTTTATTTTACTTTTATTTTAGTAATAATTTCCCAATCAAAACGCAAGCATTGCATTTCACTATACATAGAGAGGCGTCGGGGTTAGCGAAACGAGTTCAGAATTCCTCCGATGAGTTTGAAATTCAATAACGCTTGAAAAATCGAGCGAACCGGAGAAAGTTACCAGTGAACCGACGCGCGGTAAGCAGAAACACAAAGTTCCAAGTTACACGCGGTTCGAAAATTTGATTGTTCTTTTATCGGTGGACGATTGGTCGGTTTTAATTTATTCAATGTGCTAACGTAAAATGTGCCGTTGTTTGCCGAGGCAAGCGAAACTCGGGGAACGATCAAAAGATGTAGAATGGCTCGAAGGGAAAATTCTTCTTTCTACGGTTTACAAGTTTTCCAAGTAAACCGAGCTTTCAGGTCCAGTCATGGGCAAACGCTTCTACCCAGTTCTTATTTTAGATTCTTCGGATAATACAGTGCAGCCTTTCGGAATGCAACGTTCATAAATCTTAAAGAGAAAATGTGTTTCAATATGGACGCACGTAGAATTAAAACTGAATATAAGACAACAGTTTTTAAATAGCTGTTTGAAAAACTGCATTTGAAGCACATAATACGATAAATTGCATTACTCGAATCGTGAACGCGTTTTATCATCAATCATACTCCAGCCAGCAGCTACTATCTGCATTTACCAAAATTCACAAGTGCTCGGTGCATTATCTACTAAACACTCGAGTACACGACGGAGGCTAAGATAGCTCCGTCAACTTGCCGGCGAAAGAAGGCAAGTAAAACACGAAGAAGATCGATCATACGGCCATCTTGTTTGCATACTGAATGCATAACTCACTTGCACGCGTACACCCTCAAAGGGCTACGGTACTAACACAGATTGCGTCGCGGGAAACTGTATCAGGTATCGAATAAAATTCGCGTTCAACCTTTGAGGCGAGTCGGGGCTTTTGCACGGTTCTCTTAAAAATTTCTATAACAGTTCCCCGAAGCCTTGGCAAGATAAAATATTTATTGCAAAATATAGTAAATATCGCAATATTTATTTTGCATATTTTAATGCAACGTAATTATTGAATTGGCTTCGTTTCCGTTGATCACCTTCTTCCTGATACGATGAAATCGGTGTTTGAAAAGGGTCCGGCAATCTATCGGTAGAAGGTACCTAAAATTCATCGTTGAAACCCGAACGATGGCCATCGAGGCAGGAAAAAGGGATCAACGAGGGGCGGCGTGAAATCTTGCGCAATTCCGTGCGGAACGGAAGCTGGAGAGCCTCGCGGTCGTTCCGGGCGAACTGCGAACCCGTAATTTACCGAGGCGGTTTTTAGCCTGGTCCCCGCTGGATGGATGGATAACGAGAAAAGTTTTTCGCCCCGGACGCCTGCTACTGCTGCTGGCCTTTACATTACGCGTACCGACTCGCTCGTCTCTCTGACTCGGTCCATTTCGCGCCACGATCCCACAGAGAAACGTCACGGTGTCAATCGTCTCGCTACATCGACCGTCTCATCCGCAAATGCGACTTTAAGGGAATCCCTTCTCCCCGCAAACGAATTTAAAAAAAGAGGAGATAGAAAATATTTATAAATCCTTAAAACAATTTCGCTTCGAATTTTCTTGA